ATTCTTGTTCCAGTGATGTTTTGAATAGTCTGACCACCTCATTAATACCATTTGTATCATCTACAAGTGATGAAAAGTGATGACTCATGATTTTCCATAATTACTGTATTATTTTCTGTGTCCATGACTGTACTTCATATTATACGGCTGATAACGTTTGTTGGGTTTTTTTCTTTGATCGTTTTTCTAACTTTCTCTCACTGATTATCTCACAGTTCAGCACCGAGCGGGAGGCTGCCATGAAGTAACCAGTCATACAGCGGTTTGAAGACGAAGGCAGTCCATACTACTCCAGCGCCAGGCCAGTCATTATGTCACGCTTCACGTCTCGCTGTGCGATGAAATGAGGCTCTTAAGGGCCGTAACTATAGGTTTTATGAAGGTTAATGCGTCACAACAGTTCCGAACATTGGTGCCTTGAGAAAACGTTTTGTCTTCGAACAAACGACAATTAAAACCAAAGATAGTAAGCAAAGAAGAAGAAAAAACAAAACGCCTGCCTTTTTTCTTATGGTTGATGTTTTCTCACCGCCCTTTGTTCTTCTCCAAAAAAAATTATTTTCTTCAAGCGTTGACAATGCCTTAATGTCTTACAGCAACATTTGTTCTGGGATAGAGAATGTTTTGTTATATGAGGCCTGAGGTTTGAAAGGAAGAAAATAATGTAGAAAATAATAAAACATCAGGAAATCAGATTCGGTTTTTGTTTTGACATGACTGCCCATACTTTCGAAAATCAAAACTCTTCTTAGAAGTCTTTAAAAACTTTAACTTTAAAAAAATTGGTTAAAAAGTTAGTTGTTAGGTGAAAAGATAAAAAGATTGCATTAAAGGTTGTTTAGGGCGCCAGTTGCTGTAGGGTGTAATGCTGTAACTTCTTGGAAAACAAAATATCTCGCCTAGGTCACAATGTGTCGAAAAGTAATATAAATATAGTCTAACATCGTATGTCAATGTGTCTCATGAGAAAAACGTTGTTGAGTTAAGGAGTGGCAGAGAACAATGTGAGTATGGTGCCAAATATTATTCGAGGGTAACTGGATGCCGGTGTGGCTGAGTGACTGATGGGTTCACAGCAGGAAGTAAGAGACTTTGTTACACTAACCGCAGCCCACTGGCCGCTTCATAAAGAAACATGAGTCGAGTCAGTAATCAGTCATTAAATTTAAAAAAAAAAAAAAGTTTCCTTTAGCTTGTGTGTCTTTGTATTTTGTATTTAACTGCAAGAAGAATTATTATAAACTTAAAAATAAGGAAGGACAAATTTTTTTTTTGTTGTTGTTGTTTGTTTCCGACAGGCTGTGGGATGATGGAATCATCGATCCAGCTGATACTCGCCTGGTTTTGGGATTGAGTCTCAGCGCAGCCTTGAACGCACCAACAAAGAAGACACAGTTCGAAGTATTCCGGATGAAACTTTAACGCAGTAGCAGATTTGTACTGTATTATTAGTAGTCTTTTTTTGGTTTATTCCTGATCGTGTTTAGTTAAAAAAGTTATTGAGCAGAGTCGTCTCTGTCAGGAGAACCTCTGTGGTTCATCTGTACGACATCAGACGTTTCTGCTGTTGATTTGTGCCTGAACTGTTACTACACCTGTGTACACGGAACGATTATTGAGGGTTTTCTCTTGTTTTATATCTTGTTGAATCTGCGAGAACGAAGCGAAAGATTAGTTCACAGCAAAAAATTAGTTCACGGCGAAAGATTAGTTCACAGTGAAAGATTAGTTTACAGAGAGTAATTCGTTCGTAGTGAAAGATTAGTTCGCAGTGAAAGATTAGTTCGCAGTGAAAGATTAGTTCACAGCAAAAAATTAGTTCACGGCGAAAGATTAGTTCACAGAGAGTGATTCGTTTGCAATGAAAGATTAGTTCACAGAGAGTGATTCGTTTGCAATGAAAGATTAGTTCACAGTGAAAGATTAGTTCACAGAGAGTGATTCGTTTGCAATGAAAGATTAGTTCACAGAGAGTGATTCGTTTGCAATGAAAGATTAGTTCACAGTGAAAGATTAGTTCGCAGAGTGATTAGTTCGCAGTGAAAGATTAGTTTACAGAGAGTAATTCGTTCGTAGTGAAAGATTAGTTCGCAGTGAATGATTGTTAGGTTTATTCTAACATATATGACGACAAATTAACAACACAAAAGACGTCTTGATTATTTACTTGCAAGGGGAGAATGCAGCTTACTCTTCTGGCAGTAGAGTAGCCATAGCCTTCCTCTAGTAGAGTAGCCACACCCTTCCTCTGCACTTTTATTGAGTTTATAAAAGTTTCAGATTACATATCATGTGATCGTGTGTGAGTATATGAATGGGTATGAAGTAAGAAGGTGGGTGTGAATGGGGGTGTGACTGTGTCTGGTAATTTCTCCATCAGTCTTGAGCACACTAGATTATAATATGAGAAGCAAACAGTTTCTTAAAGCGACAGTACAGCATGAAGCAATGATAATAAATTAAATTCTTCCAACAGTGATTCGTTTGCAATGAAAGATTAGTTCGCAGAGTGTGATTAGTTCGCAGTGAGTGATTCGTTTGCAATGAGTTCGCAGAGAGTGATTTGTGAGTGATTCGTAAGTTCAATATGAACAAATCTTTCATATGACTCGGGAGTCACGAATCACGAATCCTTTATATGACTCGGGAGACACGAGTCATATGAAAGATTCGTTCTTATTGAACGAATCACTCGCGAACGACACATCACTACAACAGATGTAAAGCCCGTGTCCTCATAAAAGGCAAGCTGTCTCCTACCTTTCTCTAATTATCACCGCAATTAAGAGCCGTCTCGCCCGGACCGTTAATTAGAGTGGGTTTCTCAGACAGATTACCGTGATACAGTTATGAATCATCTGGGTTTCAATATCTCTGGAAACATCTGCTGTTTTTTTTAAAACGTGTTCAGCAATGTTGCTCACGCAGGTTTGACGGACAAAAATGAAAGCTTCGCCAACAGTTAAAAGTTGGTAGGCGGAGATGGAATATGTGATTCTGGGTGAACAACTACCCACACATTCGTACGGTACTGCATGGCCAAGCTACTGTATCCCAGCTTACCTCAAGGTACGACTCTCCACACAAGAACATTTCCAGTGGAGTTTTTCAACCAGCTGGCTTCACAGGGACGTTTTCACAAAATTCACATATGCTGCTCTGAAAAAAAAAAAATCTGAAATAAAACTTGTTGCCAAAGTGAAGTCAGATGTTCTTTCCCAATTTGAGCACAGCATCTGAATGACGAGATGACTTCATGAATTGTTAAAAATAAAAGGCCAGCTGGTGGAGTTAAGACTTTGAGAAAGGCTTCATAAAAACTCATTGTAATCCCATTTCCTGTGACTTTGTATGAAACAGTAGCAGAAATGAAGTTTGTGTTAAAAAAAAACAACTTCATGTTGGGTGGATTTATAAATATCTCCAACTCCAGTGTCTTATCTTGAAAGACCTCAGCTTCAGAAATGTCAAGTGTGCATCTGGAGACTCTCTGAGATATTTTTGGCTGAACAGTGCCCCCTTATGATCAGTTGATGTGAAGTTGTGAAGCTGGTAGTGATGTGTCGTTCGCGAGTGATTCGTTCAAAATGAACGAATCTTTTATATGACTCGTGACTCCCGAGTCATATGAAGGATTCGTGACTCGTGACTCCCGAATCATATGAAAGATTGAAATTACACGTAAATGAACGTACACCTGGATGCAGTACTATTTAAATGTTGCCGGTGACCAGTTTCACTTCATATCTCAGCCTGGTTAGCTCATTCATATTAATGCGTGGCTCTGCTTAGCTTCGTGTGAATCTCAGAATGACGCGTCAGCAGAATATGGCGGTGACCTTTGTGCCGTTTTCTGCTCGCGAATCTGGGGAAACGCCACAGAGGACGCCACAGTTACTGAAATCCCAGCTAATGAACTTGGATGAGCCGAGCCTTCCATCTTTTAATTCCGGGAGTCGAATAATTAGGGTGTGTAACTCAGCCTTGTTACCATTTCATCCAGACACTTATTGTCAACTCAGTGCAAATTTATTTTCTGATAGGTGATTCATCTGTAATTAATAGCGTACCTGATCCAGGAGCGGGGCTGACTCGGCCCTGACTGATCGACCGGGACAGTTAGTGTATGACTCATGATGAAGTCACCGTGTGGACTAAAAATAATCGGAACCCAGACTTGGAGTCAATCTGTTCAGTTCCTGGGGAGAAATTAGTAAGTCCTGATGCACACACACTGATCCACGCTGTGTGGATATCTGTCCTGTATAAATAAGTATGTCACGACTGCTGCACTTTGGACTGGTGACAGAAGTCGGTATCATATGTGATACGTTGGAGAATTGATCAGAAAAACCAACACTTCATTAACAGCTGGCTGTGAATGTTAAGTTTTAATCCCATAATTTGTCAGTTTCTGTGTTTATCTGTGGTCAAAGTCACATGACGTTTTAAATGTATGTTGTATATTTTTAGCCAATGCTAATTCATGATATGATGTGTGGGTCGCAAGATTTTTTTTGGGGACGTCTCACATCATGTTTCCCAGGAGTTTATGAATAATGTCTATTGACTTGGGTCGCAATGGTTTTTTGACTTTTAAAATATGGGTCCTCAGAAAAAAAGTTTGGGAAACAGTTTGAGATATACAATACGATACGATATGATAAGGTATGATATGATAAGGTACAATATGATAAGGTACGATTCGATGAGGTACAATATGATATGGTATGATATGAAAAGGTACGATGTGATGTGATGAAATACAATATTACACCATCTGTTACTGTGCAATTCAATTTAATTTGTAGAGATTTAAGATAGTGGCGATTTGGCCCAGAGGCAATGTCTCTGTCGTTGGTGTGGAATCCTAGGGTTCACCTCCTGGGACTCACCACCTGCAGGAAGGTTTAGGGGGATTGGTACAGTGCAATGTGATTTGGGTGGCAACTGCTGCCCCTGTGACCCAGTAACGGATAAGTGGATGAAATTGGATGGATGCATGGATGGAGTTTCAAGATTTATTTATATATATATTTACATATATATAAAAGGTGTATCAATATGTTTCTATATATTTCAACTGTTTTCTACTGGGAACCCGTGCACACAATGAGAGCATGAAAAACTCCACAGTGGAAGTGCATCAGTGACCACTGGCCATCAAACCTGAACGCTTTCCTGTAAGGCACGAGCTCTAACCACTGAGTGACCCCAGGAACCTTACTTAGCCTGAGTGTGTGTGTGTGAGAGAGAGCGATAGAGAGAGAGAGGAGGTCCAGTTCGTGGTGGTCGAGCTCTGCGGTGTAATCGACGTCTGAGACTGACAGCAGTGACAGTCCAATGGGAGCGGCGGACACGCCGACGCCGTCAAATCACACACGGGAAGGAGGCGCCGTCAGCGACATCCTGATGACGTCATACACAAACAGCTGGTCGTATGGAAAGAGAATGTGAAAAAAGGTAGAGCAGCACAGTGGCTGAGATCAGCACCCCGGGCTGGAGCCCTTCTCACGGTACTTCTAACGATGTGGCAGCAGGAGCGTCGCGGCTCAGGATGTAGCCCTGCGCGGCTCCTCTGGCGGCTCTGCGCCGCTCTGTGGCTGTGGGCGGTCGG